CACTTGAGTCTAAGAGTTTGAGGCTGCAGTGAGCTGTGATGACACCACTGCCCTTCATCCTGGGAGACAGAGTAAGACCCTATCTCAAAACAAACAAGCATCATTGGTGGAGTTTTAGCCTTCAGAGATTTCCACGAGAAAAGCAGCTCAGTCATGCCTGGGGAGAAGGGCCATTGCTTGGTGGAGCTGGAGGCAGGCAGGACTGGGAGTGGCTGACTGGATTTTGCAAGGTCAGGGAGAAGATACTGTACTGAGAGGAGAGCTGGCTTCTGCCCTCCTGGGCTCTGCCAGGAAGAGGACTCTCTGGCAGAGCCGCCTCCCCCTGGGCCCTGTGGCCTCCTGGGCCCTGCCCTGAGATCTGGTCATCCCGTGCAGCCTGTCCTGACGTGTCTGCTGCTTCTGCCACATTGTACATTCAGCTCACACTTGTGGGTGTGGGCTGCCCTCGAGACATACACAGGGCAGGGACTGGCCTGGCTGTCACAGTGGGCTTCATACAGCTGAACTGGCATGCCATGCTATATGAGATGTCAAATACTCCGAAGAAAACTCCTCATCAGTTGTTATTTATTTATTTATTTATAGATAGATAGACAGAGTCTCACTCTGTTGCCCGGTCTAGAGTGCCATGGTGTCAGCATAGTTCACAGCAACCTCAAACTCCTGGGCTCAAGCGATCTTGCCGAGTAGCTGGGACTACAGGCATGCACCACCATGTCCGGCTGATGTTTTCTTTTCTTTTTTTTTTTTATTGAAGTTTCTTTTCAATTTTATTTTATATACAAAGAGCTACTAGCATGGTCTCTTTCACTTTATGGGTGCCGTGGAAAATCCATTCAAAGAAGATCACTTAGGCTGGGCGCGGTGGCTCACGCCTGTAATCCTAGCACTCTGGGAGGCTGAGGCGGGAGGATTGCTCAAGGTCAGGAGTTTGAGACCAGCCTGAGCAAGAGCGAGATACCGTCTCTACTAAAAGAATAGAAACAAATTAACTGGCCAACTAATATATATAGAAAAAATTACCTGGGCATTGCGGCGCATGCCTGTAGTCTCAGCTACTCGGGAGGCTGAGGCAGCAGGATCGCTTGAGACCAGGAGTTTGAGGTTGCTGTGAGCTAGGCTGACGCCACGGCACTCACTCTAGCCTGGGCAACAAGCGAGACTCTGTCTCAAAAAAAAATAAAATAAAATAAAAAGAAGATCACTTAGTCCAACTTAATGAAACCGATGTCCTTCACGTACTGACGGAAACACTTGGCGGCACATATTGAGGCCGTATTTCCAAATCAGACCGTGCCAGTTTGAGCAGATGAGACAAGAGCGAGAACCCTGGCCGAATTTTTGCGAGTGGCTCCAATAGGGCTGCTGGTGACCCATCTTGCTCTCAGGAGGGCAACAAGGCAAAAGGCCCGGCTGATGTTTTCTATATATATTTTTAGTTGTCCAGCTAATTTCTTTGTATTTTTTAGTAGAGATGGGGTCTCGCTCTTACTCAGGCTGGTCTCGAACTCCTGAGCTCAAATGATCAAAATGATCCTCCCGCCTCAACCTCCCAGAGTGCTAGGATTACAGACATGAGGCACCACGCCCAGCCCTCATCAGTTGTTTTTAAAAAGCAGCTCAGGCTGGGTGTGGTGGCACCTGTAGTCCTAGCCACACGGGAGGCTGAGGCAGGAGGATCACTTGAGCCCAGGAGTCCGAGGCTGTAGTGAGCTGTGATTGTGCCACTGCGCTCCAGCCTGGGCGACAGAGCAAGACCCCATCTCTAAATTTATATGTTTATTTAAGGACTGATGGGGTGAGGGGAGGGGTGATCGAGTTGTCTGAGCTGACCCAGAAAAGTTTCCTTAAATCCTGCCCTTACTGCAGAGAGATTCCGCCTTTCCAAGGCAGGCCCCTCTTTGGAATTGGTATGCCTATGTTTTCCATTAATCTGCAAAGCATACCACACCTCTTTCTATAAATTTGGAAGGTGGTGGGGTGTGAGAGGACAGAGTAAGCGTGAAGAATATGTTTGATATTTTTATATTAAATGACCATGGTATCCAATTTGAGATCACATTTTCCAAGTAAAAATGCCAGCCTAGGAACTCTGGGCTTTGTCTAAGCCTCTCAGCCTTTGCTGTAAGGCCGGGCCCCTGCACCTTCTCAGCTGGCCCCTGCTGTCCAGTATAGTGACCACTGCCCACCACCTCGGTGCCATCGTTGGAGGTGCCCATGTCAGTGCCCTGCCTGTGGCGTGAGATGCCTGTCCCTTCTCTGAGAGTCCAGACCTTTTCCGGAGCTGCGTCCGGGGGCCAGGAGCGCTCTGCCTGGATGGCAGCCGTGGGCTCCTGGGGGCAAGACACTCAGCAGACTGTGTAGCCGTCACAGCCACTGTCTGCAGGTCTAAACTGCTCCGATGGGGATGTTGTTGAATAGGGATCTTAATTCTTTCTTCACCAGTGTTCATTGAGAATCCTGGGCAGATCTCATTATGCAGGGCAGAGCCCAGGGCACCTGGCAGGGCTGTGCTCCCCCTTCCTGAGGGCAGCAAGTCGGGTCCCAGAGGCAGGCTTTCCGTGTGTCCAGCACTCTGGTCAGCTGGTCAGTGGGAGAGCCCACCCAAGCCCAGCTGCAGATGGCGCTTCTGCAGGTGGCGACAGGGTGGGCGTCGGCACAGCTTCCTTTGTGCTGGGGCCTGTTGCTGATGGATCTGGCTCTTTGGGCTTTGCTGGGCACTCCTCGGCGCCCGCCTGGGGCACAGCGCCACCTGGGGGGCCTCAGTGGCAGTGCACCTCCTTTTGATGAGGGGCCAGGCTTGGGTTTGGGGTCCCACAGCGGTCAGTGGTCAGTGTCTGTACTGTCGTCTGTCTGCGCTGTGCCTGCCTGGCAGATCATCTCGTGGAGGTGATGCTGGTCTCAGGGAGGAACACCCACACCTTTGTGGGAACCCCTGTTTCCATCACCGTGCTCTCGGTTCTATCCCCAGAGCTACAGCCACCAGGACAGAAAGGCGGCAAGTACTGTGCCAAAGGCTTCTCCGATTGTGCTTCCTGTTTGGCAGAATTCCAGGAGCTTCCACCCAGAGAAGCAGGAGATGAGTGTGGGGGAGAAGGGGTGCAGGAGGGATGTAGACCTTTGTGTGGCTTCTTCCTGGAGAGTGTTCCACTTCCCTTGAGAGCATGCGCAAGACAACTTTCTCTCACTTTGTTTTATCGAGTACATACAGCATGAAATTCAACATTTAACCTTTTAAGTGTGCTACGCACTGTCACTTGCACTCTCGTGGTGTGTGCAGCACTCTGTTGTTCCCCACGGCCAGTGCCTGCTGCCATCTGCATGGTCCAGTCCCGCTGTGCTCTGGGTGTGAGGTGGCGCCTCAGCGTGGTTTTTGTTTCCCTGATGGCTAACGATGCTAAGTGTTTTCCTGAGCTTCTTGGCCACTGGGGGATCTTTGCGGAAGTATCTGTTGAAGTCCTTTGCCCCTCTTCATTTTATTTTTTTTAGTATGAGTTTCATTTTATTTTTTCCCAGAGGATAGCTTTTCTTCCATCCTTAGGGCAGCTTCTTACACGGGCTTTGGCTGAGGTCATGGGGTAGCACCCTCTGGTCTAAATCAGGGTGGGTCTTCATTGGGGGGATCTGACCGCTGTGCCAACGTGGAGCCACCCACCACGCAGCGTGAGGAAGTGGTACACACTGCTCGGGAAGCACACAGGCATCGAAGACGCTTGCCTCAGACATGTCCCCAGCAGCTGCGGCCCTCCTGCGTTTGTCATGATGAACTTCGTAATGGCCTTGTCCTTGGGCACACACTTGGAGCCGGCTGTCCTGCTGTGCATGGGCTGCCTTTTTGGCACAATTGTTGTTCCCTCTTTTCTTTGTTATCTTGGAAGCAAGGACCTGAGAGAGGCTGCTCGTTTTTTAATCAGGATGTTTGTTCTTTTTGTTGAGTTGCAGGACTTCTTTATTGATTCTGGACATCAGTCCCTAATGAGATATCTGATTTGCAGATATTTTCTGCCATTCTCTCCCTGTGTTTTCAGTGTGTTGATAGTGTCCTTTGATGCACGAGGACCAGGTTTTGATGTGCAGTTAGGAGTTGACCAGGCAGAAGGGTGGTGCAGGCAGAAGTATTGACACCTGAAGAAGGGTGCCATGGGCAAAGGCACCAGGTGGTAGTGTGCAGGAGTGGATCCCACACACAGAGAGACACACAGACACAGACATACTCAGTGTGGAAGCATCACCTATGTTTTAAAAATGCCCTTTTCTAAGCCCTCTTGGAACAAGTGTTATAAAAACATAAGAAACTAATGGTGTTTTTAAGGCAAGGGGAGGGACTGAGCCTTAACGGTACAAGCTTTTGGAAAGTTTTCAGATGTCCCATAAACCAGTTTAAGATGTTACATGTAAGTTAAGTGTGCAACGATGTCTGTCCTACAAATTTCTCTTGGACTGACCTTTTCCCATAAAATGTAAAGAAATAAAAATTAAAGATATGGAGAGCTCTCCAGAGAAATAGCAATTTAAAAATTACTGTATCCTCAGTAATTCTCCAAGCACGCTCCAGTTGTCAGTACCTGGGGGCTATAGCAAACCCAAGAAGTCGGAAATGCATTAGCCTTTGAGAATTCAACTTCAAAATTCATATGAAGTAGGTCAGAGTGCAGATGAGTGGCTGTCTTCTGGGTGTGCTGGACTCACTGCCCACCCACCCACACCCACACCCCACCCTCCGCCAGAGCCTCCGAGAGAAGAGCCCAGAGCCTTACACCCAGTGCAGGCCACAGGGAGCCCTGTTCTGGCAAGAGTATGTGTATTCTCGGCAGGCCGTGTGACCCAATGCCCTGACCCTGCTCTGGCCGTGTGGAAGTGGGCAGGCTGGGTCTCTGGGCTGGAGCTGCAAGGACACCTCCACCCTGGGCAGCGAGGCCCTCTGCCCCTCCCCTCTGCCTCTGGGGGAGAGCCTATCCCAGAGGGGCCCTTCACCCCTCAGCCCCTCCACTTCCTTGCAGGGATCGACTACAAGACGACCACCATCCTGCTGGACGGCCGGCGTGTCAAGCTGGAGCTCTGGTGAGTCGGGCGGCAGCACTCAGCTTGCCCGGTGGGATGTGGAAAGCCAGAGCAGGCAGGAAGGGTCCTGTTCATGTTTCACGTGGAGTAGCCACTTAAGGATGCTGTCTGTGTAAACGTGGAGTAGGTTCTGCTCCATGATCCAAAAACCTAAAGCCCAGGTGTCTTGCTCTGGTAGAGCCCACTTCCCTTTTTGCCCATAAAGGCTTGTTTCCACTGTGGTCCCTTTCCCCTTGCCCTTTACCTGCTTCCCATTACAGAGTTTCTCCCAGTATTTCTAAGTCAAGATGTAAATTCCCACAGGTTTGGGGTTGTCCAGCCTGGCAGGACAGTCTCCTGGGGCCCTCAGGCCCATGTTGGGGACTCTCTCAGCCAGGTGGATGGAGGTCAGTCACTTCTGCTGCCTGCCAGCTTGGTGTCAGCATCTGTGTGGACACCTTTAGCGTGGCCCTCCTGTGCCTGCTCTGGTCACATTCCAACTGCCCTCCCTCCCCCTGCCGTCTCTCCACCTGTCCTCCCTCTACCTGCCCTCCCTCCCCCTGGCCTCCCTCCCCCTGCCCTTCCTCCACCTGCCCTTCCTTCCCTTGCCCTCCCTCCACCTGGCCTCCCTCCCCTTGGCCTCCTTCCACCAGGCATCCCTCCCCCTGGCCTCCCTCCACTGGCCTCCCCCTGTCCTCCCCAGGACGTCTAGGGCGAGCCTCCCACAGGGCTCACAGTGTGAACACTGGAGGGGCCGTGGGCCGTGGCTGTCCTGACACCCCACCCCCCCATGTGTTTCAGGGACACGTCGGGCCAGGGCAGGTTCTGTACCATCTTCAGGTCCTACTCCAGGGGTGCCCAGGTAAGACCAGCAGCTCTTTGTTGTTCTGATTGTTTCTTTTATTTTGATATTTATTTATTTTTTTCTTTTTTTCCTAAGCATTCAAGTGAAAGGAACTGATTGTTTCTGAGTAGGAGTTGCTGCCCTGTCCCAAACGCCCTGTGCTCTCCTAAAGATACTATGAAATGTTGACATTGGATTTTCCCTAACAGCCCGTCCTTATCTGGGGAGCACGTGTCTTCCTCTGGCCCTCTCTGACCTTGGGAGCCTCCCTTCCCCGGGACCGTGACGTAGAGGGGCTTTGGGCACAGGGGGCACCCGGCTCCTGACATACCTGTGTCTGGCGTCTTGGCACAGGCTGCTGCTATTCTCACAGCTGTGGGTGGCGACCACCTCGAGGTGCAGGATGTGCTCTGAGCCCAGCTCGGCCCCTCCAGTCCCCCTGAGCTGTGGGATGTGGCTCGTTCACCTCTTCCGATAGAAACCAGTGGTGGCTTCCCCGTGTGTCTGCCCTGGACTCTATATGCTGAGATGCAAGGCTGCTGGGGGTGGGGTCTGGCTCTTGGGCTGGATTATGCCCCGACACTCCTGTGTGCAGACTGGGGCACCGAGGAGGGCTTTGTTTGAGAGGCTGCAGCAGACCCTCAGGAAAGGGCAGAGCGACAGGAAAGAGCAGGACACTGGGCTGTCTCCAGGGCCGCCTGTGGGGGAGCACCCACGCAGGGGGTCCCGTGCAGGGCAGGCATGCTCACAGCATGCTCAGGGCCGTGTACACAGGTGTGGAGGGCATGCTCAGGGCCACGTGTGCACAGGTGTGGAGGGCATGCTCAGCCACTCTCTTTATTCTGTGTCCCCTGTGCTCCCCACACACTCTCACACTGACCGGATCTGCTTGTGTTGACTCTGAGAACAGAAGGATGGGAAGTAGTTGAGATCTGTGTGAACAGACCTGCTGTAGTTACTGCCGCTGCTGCCTCAGCGTGACCGTGTGAACGGAAGGTCGGTCAGTCCTGTCTGTGATGCACAGAGACTTCTAGAAGACCTAGATGAGACCTTCGAGGGCCAGACCATACCCTAGGCAGTGAGCTCAGCCTAGGGCAGCACAGCCTGTGCAGGCCCAGGAAGCATGCTTAGGTCTGGGGTCGGGACACCTTGGGGAAGAGGTCAGCTGTGTGCTTTGTAGTGTCTGGCTCCAGGCGGGTCTGCCCTAAGTAGGCATGTGCCCCACTGTTTGTAGAGTTTTGTCCCCTTGCAAAGGCATCTTTACCTGTTTTTCTACACTGTAGTGTGGTGTCAGCTTGTTGCTGTCTCCCCTCTGCTGAGGGTTGGATGGAGAAGGACCCCCAGGCTGGATGGGGCGGCATCCTGTCCTGGGCACTCCTGCAGAGATGCTGGTGACTCGCCTGTGGGAGCAGAAGGGCCTGGGTGTGGCCTACCCATGCCAGGGGGGCCTCACCCAGCAGGTCCATCTGGGCAGCCAGGCGTGGGTGGTCAGGTGGCGGCAGGGCCTCCAGAGTGCCATCCGCTGCTTTGGAGCAGTCACTGCCGCGCCTGCTGCCAGGGTGAGGTCAGCTCTGGGGAAACCACAGGTGGGCCCACAGCCCCACAGACCACACTGAAGGACAAGGCCTGACGCACAGAGCTTGGCAGGTGGAAAAAGCACAGGTGCAAAAGTGTGTTCCATGGGTCCCTTTCTGTCTTTTAGAGAAGGAACCATAGGCACGACTTTATCTACAAAAAGGATGTTTTGTCTTTTTTTTTTTTTTTAATTTTTGAGTATTTCCTAATTTTTCTGCAATAAACACATACTACTTTTTTGTAGTAAAAGAAAAAATGAAGGAGGGGCAGCTATCCTGAGTTATAATAAAGTGCTATTTGGGGAATACTGAGAAAGGAACTGAGAGGTTGTACCTGGCAGGCTCAGCTGTTAGTGTTCCCACTGCAGGGCAGGGAGGGAGGAGCAGGTCACGGGTAGTAATTTCTGTTCAGCTATGTGAGAACTTAAAAAGAAAAAAAAAAAAAACATTTTACAAATTCTGTATTTGCTAGACTCTAAGTTTTTTTGGAAAGCCAACTGTGTTACGATGACTGTATTCTCTTCAAAGCATCTAGCACAACTGGTTATTTTGTTTGTTTCGCTTTGTTAATTCTGGAAGTTCTTAGTTGTCATTTCCTGGACGAGAGGAGATAGTTGTGGAGCCCAAGTGCAAGTCTTGGGTCTGGGTGGGGCGTGCCAGGCGCTTCCTGGGGACCTTGTCCTCAGGAAAAGCACCTGAGCTGAGAAGCTGGGCCTCTGGCTGTCTTGCCTGAGTGTTTGTTTCACCCTCCGAGCCCAGCCCTGTCCGAGCCCAGCCCTGACCGTGTCCTGCTGCTGTGAGCGGCAGTGAGGGGGGGTGACTTTCAGAGCAAATGCAGAGCCTGGTTTTGTCTGTCAAGAATGGAGAAGCCTCTCGGCCCCCCCAGAGCCTGGGTCTTGTAGCCAGCGCCAACAAAGGCCATTTGCCACTGTTTTGCTGTTGTCACCTGTCCCACAGTGGAGCAGTCTTGTGGCTTTTATCATGAGTCCCTTCACATTCCACTAAAGAGCCAAAGGCTTCCTCGACTTTGTAGACTGTGCCAGTGCTTTCTGTTGCTGGCATCCGAGAGGCTGATTGTTTTTACACAGAAGGGGTTTGTGTGGGAAATGGTACAAGATGCACACTTAAAACTGCGTGAGTGCTCATCAGCACAGCAGGGTGTCACCTGCCTGCCACACTCACTGCCAGGGCCGCTTCTGGGCGGTGCTAGCAGAGGGGAGAGCTGATGTTCGTTTATGCCCAAGAGAACTAGCTAGTGCTTCAAAAACCAGAGCATGTCTTATGTTTATTGTTTAAAAAATAGAATGTAGTAGCAGCATTCATTTGCCCCTTGTTCTGCCTCTTTGAGATACACTTGACATTGGGGTTTCTTTCGAATTGGTTCTGGCAACGAGAACCCTCATCTGGGTTTCTCTGCTGTCCTGCCTGTGGTTATCTCTGCTAGTCTTCCTTGGCAAATCTGTGAGCATTTTGGTCTCTACTGCCTTGGTCTGACCAAAGCTGGAATCTGTTCTGCTCATAGCCGCAACCCCTCAGACTTGGCAGTCCCAGGAATGGCCTGCTCAGAGCAGGGCCTGGGGATGCTGGTGCCGGAGGGGAGATATGGTTAGGCTTCCCCAATACCCCCTGCCACAGGTGGAATCTGAGCCAAGCCAGCCCCCAAACACGGCCGCCTGCTCACTTGCTTTAGTGTGTAAACATGACATGAATAGTGCCGTCACTACAGAAAGTGTAGATCAACACAGGCAACTAAAAATCACCCTCTGCCCTTATGCCATTTGTATCTATCATGTCCACGTAAACTTTTTCAGTGTAGTGTGTTGTGTGTTTACATCTTTGTTTGAAAAAGATCACACCGTATGTGATGTTTGGGGCCTGTGTCCCTCATCTCACCATCTATCCTGCGTCTTCCATGATCATCAAATAGACCCTAAATATGGTCCCGTCTAAACAGTGTGTTTTCCTCGACTTGCTGCCCCCTGGGTTCAGACGTTTAGTTTGTCTCTGTGTCTGTTGCTCTGAACAGCGCTGTGATGCGCACTAGCGAGGGCTGCGCTGTGGTGCTTTGGTGGCACCTGAGAGGGCGTCACTCCCTGCGCCCAGAGCTGCGGGGCTGGCTCCCAGGGATGCGTTCATGGATCTTAAAGCTCGGCTTTTGTTGCCCACCAAAGTGGCTGCCAGCAGTTGGTCTTTTTCCTGCCTCGGAGGGTCCCCCGGGGAGCCATGTTCCTCCTGAGCCCCCACCCTGCTCTGAGCCAGGCCTTTGTCGTAGGGGGAGGATCCGCAGGGCTGGGGCTTAGTCCCTCAGACCTTTGTCTTAACAAGACCTGAGGGCTACACTTAGGAGTCCAGAAATCAAGAGACAGTTTTAGGAGGCTTTAAAATTCCTAATTTTGAGAAGGAGAGTGGCCTCTTCCTTCATTCTCAGCTGCGCTTTTCCCTCCTCTCCCTTACGTGGTAGTCTTTTGCTAACTAAAGATTTTGTGGGACTAGGAGTGGAGTGAGTCCTGGCTCATTGCATGGTCTGATTCCCGAGCCTCCTTCAGGTGGAGTTTTAGGCAGAGAGGTGGGCGTGTGGGGCGCAGCGCGCTCTTGCTGGTGCTGCTCGAGAGCCCATGGCAGCGCCACTGCGAGAGGTTTAGGGCGGATGGAAACAGCCCAGAGCTGAGCTCTGGGTAATTGGTCTCTGAGGGACACGGCGGGGAAGCCCTGTGGCAAATCCTGCTCTGCCTGGCCAGGGAGCTCCACAGAAATTGCTCCCAGGGTGACTGGCATTCTGCCCTGCAAGTTTTGGGTTGGAAAACTCAGAAGTGCCCCCGCTCAGCTCTGCCCCGGGTACCCCCAGGGCGGAGTTCACTGATGGACTAATGGTGAGGACACTCGGCGTCCACAGCTGCAACTCCAGGCTGATGTCCACGGGAGGCCAGCCCCGCATCTGCCTGCCTGGACCAGGGGCTTCGGCTGTCGGCCACGTGATTTTTAAATGATTACAGAGTGGTGCTTATGATGTGCTTGCAGAAAAGAAGTTGGAAAAACGTCAGTTCGGCCCCAGCCGATGCGTCCAGGTGCGGGAGGGGAAGTGGCATTTGTGGCACCTGGCAGCAGTCCCCACTGAGCAGGAAGGCCCCACCCCGAGGGGAGGGGAGGTAGAGGCAGCACTGCAGAGCTCTGTGCGAGAGGCACTGCCCCTCTGCCCGTCACGTCTGGTAACCTGGGAAATGTGCCAGGCGGTGTGTGTTCCTGGCCCTCTCTGGGAACTGAGACCCCTTCCATCCAGTGAGTCCCTCCTTGGCCTGGGCCCCACTGAGCACGCGGTGACGTCCTCACGTCTCTTGCAGGGCATCCTCCTGGTGTACGACATCACCAACCGCTGGTCCTTCGACGGCATCGACCGCTGGATCAAGGAGATCGATGAGGTGGGTGGGAGTCTGTGGACTCTCCCAGGGAACGATAGGCTCCATGAGGCACCCGGGCTCTGCCTGGGGGAGGCTTGGGGGCCTCTGCCTGCTTCCCCTCCCGGGGCCCCCGCACTGGAAGGGCCTGCGCTTGGTTGGGTCTGAGCCCTGGGCTCTGCCTCCCAGCCCGGCTCTGATGAGGCTGGTGCCCTTCTAGCCCAGCCCCTGCTCTCACGGCTCCCCAGCCTCAGAATCCAGACAGCTAGGGCCCAGGGGTGGGGGCGCCCTGCCCTCCTGCCTTTGCTGAGTTCTGTGCTGCCCCCAAGCATGCACCTGGGGTCCCTCGGATCTTGGTTGGGAACCGGCTACACCTGGCCTTCAAGCGGCAAGTCCCCACGGAGCAGGCGCGCGCCTACGCGGAGAAGAACTGCATGACCTTCTTTGAGGTCAGCCCACTGTGCAACTTCAATGTCATCGAGTCCTTCACAGAGCTGTCGCGCATCGTGCTCATGCGGCATGGCATGGAGAAGATCTGGAGGCCCAACCGAGGTGGGCTGGGGGGCTGGTGGGCCCTGCTGTCCCTGTCCCCGGTGCTGCCCTGATCCCGAGGCTGACGGGGGTTGGGGCGGTGAAACCACACAAGGGGGTCCAGGCAGGTCCCTCAGCCCGCACCACAGTGACTTCGAGGACAGCGGGGAGCAGAGACAGAGGCGGCACCTCCGCCCGGGTGGCTCTTTGAGAGCTGAGCCCTTCCCGCAGCCCGTGCAGGCCCAAGCTGTCGGGCGCGCAGGCCACAGTCTCGCCCTCACTGTGCTGCAGCCGCGTTACCCGCTCTGCGTGCGCTTATGGGGTCCGTGTGCAGGCGTGGGCAGTGCCTTTGCGCTGCCTTCACGGTTCTGGAGACAGAGCTCACTGTCAGGTGATCACAGGATCCGTGCTCGCAGCTTTGCAGCGCTGTGTCTGCGCTGCATTTCACGCCACGTCCGCGAACAGAAAGCCCCGTGGTGACCTCCCTCTGGGAGACAGTGCCGCTGGGTGGAGCTGCCTCCTGACCAGGCTTGCTGCCAGGCGGGGCGTGTGTGTGTGTGTGTGTGTGTGTGTGTGTGTGTGTGTGTGTAAATCTCATCTTCCTTGAGATTAGGCTCCCCCAGGGGACTCCCTCTCTTCTTAAGGCACCATGAAGAGCCAGGGCGTGTGTGTGTGTGTGTGTAAATCTCATCTTCCTTGAGATTAGGCTCCCCCAGGGGACTCCCTCTCTTCTTAAGGCACCATGAAGAGCCAGGGCGTGTGTGTGTGTGTGTGTGTGTGTGTGTGTGTGTGTGTGTGTGTGTGTGTAAATCTCATCTTCCTTGAGATTAGGCTCCCCCAGGGGACTCCCTCCCTTCTTAAGGCACCATGAAGAGCCAGGCTGTGCCCTGGGCTGGAAGAACCTGGCTCCCCTGCCCTCGGGATTGCATCCCCACACTCCGTAGACTTTAGCTAAACGGAGTTAAAATCCAGCCACAGCTGTAGTGGCCACCGGAGCAACTTGGCCTGCAGAGCTAGTCCGCACACCCACTCGCACCAGGAAGTCCCTGTGTTGCCAGAGCTTCAGGTTCCAAGCCAGGGCTGGGCAGAGCTGGTCTCCAGAGGACAGTCCCCTGCCCAAGGACTTCCCAGTAAGTGCAGCTTTAGGGTAGAAAGCAGGAGAAGGGAGCCACCCAGCAGGCACCCCAACTTCTGCAGGCAGCTGGGGCGTCCAGGTCCCCAAGGAGCCCTGTCCTGAGGACCCATGCAGGAGCTTTGAGACCTTCCCAGCCCTGCGTCCCGTCCTCATGTGGTGTGAGAGGCTCCTCACACCTGGGTCTCCCTGCCTGGGGCCTCCCCGCCCTGCCAGCCCCTCCTCACGGGCTGACCTCTCTGCCCACCCCAGTGTTCAGCCTGCAGGACCTCTGCTGCCGCGCCATCGTCTCCTGCACCCCCGTGCACCTCATCGACAAGCTCCCGCTGCCCGTCACCATCAAGAGCCACCTCAAGTCCTTCTCCATGGCCAATGGCATGAACGCTGTCATGATGCACGGCCGCTCCTACTCCCTGGCCAGCGGGGCCGGCGGTGGCAGCAGCAAGGGCAACAGCCTCAAGAGGTCCAAGTCTATCCGCCCTCCCCAGAGCCCACCCCAGAACTGCTCGAGGAGCAACTGCAAGATCTCCTAGCAGATCCAGGCGGGGCACTGCCCTGTACAGACTCAGAGGGCTCGCGGGGAACGCTCCTGGACGCCAGGCCAGGCTGCGTGCAGGGAAGACTCGGCCACAGGGCCCTGCCTAGGGAGCCTGGGTTTTCCTCCACACCTGAGCTGGGTGAAGGGGAGGAGCGTGTGCAGAGAGCGCGCTCGCAGGTGGTGGAGAGCATGCTGCAGGGCAGCTGGGCTGCTGGTGCTACGGGGAATCTGTCCGAAACAAACCCAGGACTCCGGGGGCGCCTGGGCTCCGGCAGGAGGGAGTCTGGCTCGCCTTTCTTATTTATATAGAGAACATTTCACCTGTTTTGTACATTTTTAAGGGGCCTTCAGGGAAGCGTGGATGCAGCCACGTGGCAAGCTTGCCTCTGCGTGGTCTCGTCAGCCACAGGGATGAGCCTGAGACAGCTCGGGAAGGAGATGTGAGGCGGTCATGGGAAGGGGTGGGCTGTCAGAGCTGGAATCCTCCTTGGAACTTGGGGTGGGGCTGCCCAGAGACCTGCGGGGAGCAGGCAGCCAAATGCGCCGTCCGGGAGCTCTGGCAGCAGGCACTGGATGTGGTCCTGTGCCACGCCAGGCCTGGGTGACTCACTGCAGAGGGGAGGGGTACTCGGGAGCCCCCGTCTTTGTCACTCTATGGGTCCCTCCCCACATGGGGCTGAGAATCTTCCTGCTGTGGTTTGATGCCTTCAGTGACGTGGACGACACAGCACTCAGGCATCTCTCCAGTGTGAAGACGCAGAGCCGTCAGTCCTCGCTGGGGTCCTGACGTCTGGACCCCTGGGCACGTCCGTTCCGCCTTCTGTTCGCCAACCCTGGATGTGTCCCCTCATTGCTGCTTACCTGTCACTGCCCTTCTGCCCGTGAGGTCACACATCGCCACGACCATTCTGACCTAGTCTTTACTGTCACCACCTGAACAGCCTCGTCCACGCCGTGGCTGGTGCTGGAGGCCACACCCTCTTCCAGGACCACTAGCGTCGCCTTTGTGCTGGAGGCCCAGGCACAGCAGGGCCTGGTCACTGCTCCTCCGAAAGCCATCGACCCTCCCTCCACAGTGCTGCTCTGCCAGCGACCGAGGGCAGTGTCAGCAGTGCCTGCTCTCCCTCCCCGCTGCATCGGCCCCACCCGGCCTGGTGACCCCCTGTGGGCTGCACTGGTGCTCAACTCTACCTCCCGCCCTCGGGCTCCCCAGCCACAGGCAGGGGCCGGCACGCAGAAGGAGCCCTCCGTGGGCTCGTGACCTCGCCTCACCAGGGACTCCTCACAGCGTGTTTCTGAGACAGTCCTGCGGTGGGTGTCACCGGGCTCCAGTGGACTCGGAGCCTCAGGGCCTGCTGTTCCGGGAGGCGAGGGCTGTGGGCCACGTGAGCTGCCGGATGAGCAAGGGAGCCAAGCTGGACGGCCCCTGTGGCAGCCACTGAGGACTCGGGCCCCAGGCCTGACCACCACTGGGGCTGGGCAGAGGCAGCCCAGCCTATCTGTCTTGTTACTGCCCACAGGGCCCCTTTCTTTGGAATTTGTGAACAAACCGCAGGGACTGAGGGCCAGGCAGTCTGCGTTCACAACGTCAACACTACCCTTGCTGCTGTTTGACCCTTGGGCCGTTCCTGGGTTATTTGTGAACTGTTCCTATCTCTTTGTACAGTGAATACAATTCAGCTGTGATCTCCGTGTTTCCTTTTGAGTGAATGAGTCTCCCTCCTGCCTGACCAATGGTGGGTGCAGGTGGGACAAGGCCAGGCCAGCACTGCCTTGAACCTGCCAGACCAACCCGGAGGCCGACCCATTGAGGGCCGAGCGTGGGCCAGGCCTGGCTGCAGGCCACACTGTGTTTCACGGTGAGCCCAGCTGGGCCAGCAGTGGGCAGCCCCCCTCATGGCAAGCCCTCACTCATGGCCAGGGTGGACTGTCCCCCACGACTTGCCGCAGCTTCAAGGACCCCCAAAGCCAGGACCTGGGGAAGCACCCTCAGTAGGAAAGCCATCTTCAGACAGGGTGTGCAGGGTTGTGCCCGACCATGCTCCACCAAGGGGAGCCCAGCTGGACGGGCACGCTCCACTCTGAACATGGCCCCCACTCAGGACCACAGCCTCTGCCTCGGGGCCCACCTGGGCTGCTCCTTCCCGGCTGGGGGCTGCCCCCACCCCACAGCATCAGGGGTCGCCTCGGCCCCCTTGTCCAGCAGGGACCTGGCACCTGGTGGCCCTCTCAGCCTTGTTCTGATAAGACTAGGCTCTTAATACCCTGCCTGCAGGGTCAGAAGGTCAGACGCAGGGTCACAGGGACATTTTCCATCCTGTCTCTGAGAAAATTCCATGGGGCTCCAAACCTCTGGAGCCACAGAAGGGTTTGGGAGGGCAGATTGTGGGTGGCCCTTTGTCTTGCGTGTGATCTTGGCTGAGAGCTGGGACCCCCCACACCGCCCTCCCTGCCAGGAGGGGCCTCTGCTGCTGGGCTGGGGGCTGCTGCTGACCCCTGCGGGGAGGCCGGGGGCTGGGAGAGATGGCCAGGGTGCCTGTGTTCTGGGAGCACCTTCCAGGACACTCACTCTTTTCAGGGTGAGCTTAGATGCCCTTGGACATCTACACATGAGCCCCGTTTCCAGGGCGGGGCAGCCTATGGGATGAAGGCTCTGTGGTCAGTGCAGATATGGACCATCTCTGTCCCTGCAGAGAGCCGAGGGGCCTCTTTTCACATGCCTTTGCCCATTGAGGAAGGGCCCAGGGGGAATGGAGTCCTGAGCCAGGGGTCCCTGGGAACGCAAAGCCCTGCTGTGTGTCAAGCCCCACCCCCGGCGGTCAGCAGGGGAGGGGCAGGCTGTGTGTGTAGTGAAATTCAACCCCAAGACCTGCTGGCAGATGTGACCCTCGGGGTCACGGAGACGGTGGAGGAATCTTACCCGGGAGGGGAGCAGAATCCCCCACCACCTTCCACTGGGCTGTGCATGGAGGCCCCGGCCTCACCTGCACTCAGGTGACACTTGCCATCCTGGACTTGCCTCAGCTGGGGGGTGGGTGAGGAGCCTGTGCCTGTCCACCCCCATCGCAGAGGAGCCTGAGGGGGTCCCCAGGGGTCAGGGACAGAAGCTGAGATCTGCCAGCCCTGCCCCCTCCCCCGAACTGCAGGGGAGGGTCCTCAGGGAGACTTTGACCCCAGCTGCCCTTCCTCCTGGAGCCAGTGCAGAGGGAGGGGCTCGGGTTACAGCGTCCCCTCCCTAACCCTCCCGCAGCGCAGCCTGCAGCCCAGCCGCAGTGACTCTCATGGCCAGCAGCTCTGTGCTCCTGGGCCTCTGGCCCCTCCCCAGCCCTCTGCCCCTCCCCGCCCCCTGCCCTGTGCTGACCAGGGCCTGGGAGCCGCCACACTGGTTGGAACAGAGGGGCCAGGCTGACGCTGGGGCGGGGCCCCGGCCTCGTGGACAGACCGAGCAGGGAGAAACCCCAGAACCCACCTGTTGGGGCGCCAGGAAGAGCATCTGCTGTGGGCTCCAGCCCCGAGACCTGGTGAGCGGCCAGTGGCCCAGAAGGCGGATGCCTGCTGGGGGCTGCGCTCCAAGGGGCCCGCACGGTGGCTGGTGGCCACAGCCCCCCAGTCCCCTGGCCCGGCGGCCCCCATGCCGGCCCCATGGCTGCTCCTGCCTCTCCTCTTCCTCATGGGGCTGACCCCGGGGGCCGGCCTGCTGCCAGGGACTGGGAGCCACCCGGGCATGTGCCCCAACCAGCTCAGCCCCAACCTGTGGGTGGACGCCCAGAGCACCTGTGAGCGTGAGTGCCGCCAGGACCAGGTGAGTGTGGTCAGGGGGCTGGGGAGTCTTGGGGGCTTGGACATGGTCAGCCAGGGGAAGCCCAGACCCCCTGGCCCTTTCTCCCGGGGGCCCCCAACCCTAGGAGTTTGCTTCCTCCTCCCATTCATCATGCTGTTCTGCTGGGCTGTGCCCCAAAGGAGGGTCCCAGGAGACATCTGCCCTTACGAGATCCCTTCCCCACTCCATCTCTGTCTCCTGCCCACCAAACCCACCCCTTCCCTGCTGGGCTCCACTTATTTTCTCAGAGCAGAGTGGACACAGGCCTCTGACCAGGCCAGAAGGCCTGCCCTTTACAGCACCCCCCTGCCCTGGGCCGCTGCCTTCTCATGGCAGGGGCCAGTGGAGACACTGATCCCCCGAGGGTGGTCTGGGGGGCCAGAGCAGTGGGGGACTATGAGCACATCCTCCCTGGCCACTGGTTCCTCTGCCATGGGAACAGTGAAACTTACCTGGGGATATCTGAAGATTCAGCGAGGTCAAACTCAACGACACCCCGATGCAGAGGTGGATGCCCCTGGTGGGGGGAGGGCTAGGAGGGTGCCAGGGCTCCGGCTGACGTGCCTCCTGCCCCCCAGGACTGCGAGGATGCCGAGAAGTGCTGCACCAACGTGTGCGGGCTGCAGAGCTGCGTGGCAGCCCGCTTCCCGGACGGGGGCCCAGCTGCACCCACCATGGCAGCCTCCTGCGAGGGCTTCGTGTGCCCACAGCAGGGCTCCGACTGCGACATCTGGGACGGGCAGCCTGTGTGCCGCTGCCGTGACCGCTGTGAGAAGGAGCCCAGCTTCACCTGTGCCTCGGACGGCCTCACCTACTACAACCGCTGCTACATGGACGCCGAGGCCTGCCTGCGCGGCCTCCACCTCCACGTCGTGCCCTGCAAGCACGTCCTCAGCTGGCCGCCCAGTAGCCCGGGGCCGCCCGAGACCACCGCCCGCCCAACCCCCGGCGTGGCCCCCGTCCCGCCCGCCCTGTACAGCAGCCCCTCCCCGCAGGCGGTGCAGGTGGGGGGCACAGCCAGCCTGCACTGCGACGTCAGCGGCCGCCCCCCGCCGGCTGTGACCTGGGAGAAGCAGAGCCACCAGCGGGAGAACCTGATCATGCGCCCAGACCAGATGTACGGCAATGTGGTGGTCACCAGCATCGGGCAGCTGGTGCTCTACAACGCCCGGCCCGAGGATGCCGGCCTATACACCTGCACCGCCCGCAATGCCGCCGGCCTGCTTCGAGCCGACTTCCCGCTCTCCGTGGTCCAGCGGGAGCCGGCCAGGGGCGGGGACCCGGGCGTCCCAGCCCCCACCGAGTGCCTGCCAGACACACACGCCTGCACCGGCCCTGCCTCCCCACCCCGCGTCCTCTGGCACTTCGACCCTCAGCGAGGTGGCTGCATGACCTTCCCGGCGCACGGCTGTGATGGGGCCGCCAGGGGCTTCGAGACGTACGAGGCGTGCCAGCAGGCCTGTGCCCGCGGCCCCGGCGATGCCTGCGTGCTGCCCGCCGTGCAGGGCCCCTGCCAGGGCTGGGAGCCGCGCTGGGCCTACAGCCCACTGCTGCAGCAGTGCCACCCCTTCGTGTACAGCGGCTGCGAGGGCAACGGCAACAACTTTGAGAGCCGTGAGAGCTGTGAGGACGCCTGCCCCGTGCCCCGGACGCCGCCCTGCCGCGCCTGCCGCTTCCGGAGCAAGCTGGCACCCAGCCTGTGCCGCAGCGACTTCGCCATCGTCGGGAGGCTCACCGAGGTGCTGGAGGAGCCCGAGGCTGCGGGCGGCGGCATTGCCCGAGTGGCCCTTGATGACGTGCTCAAGGACGACAAGATGGGCCTCAAGTTCTTGGGCACCAAGTACCTGGAGGTGACACTGAGCGGCATGGACTGGGCCTGCCCCTGCCCCAACGTGACAGCTGGCGACGGGCCGCTGGTCATCATGGGCGAGGTGCGCGATGGCGTGGCTATGCTGGACTCCGGCAGCTACATTCGCGCTGCCAGTGAGAAGCGCATTAAGAAGATCTCGGAGCTGCTCGAGAAGAAGGCCTGCGCGCTGCTCAACCGCTTCCAAGACTAGCCTCCCTTGGCCTCGCCCACTCCCGCCCTCCTGCCCTGTGGAATAAAAGCCGTCCCCTTGCCCCAACCTCCAGGCCTGCTGGTGCTGGTCAGGGTACTCTGACCCCTCCAGGTGCCCGCACCCCAGTCCATTCTCCAGCTGAAGCATTGCCACCAAGTGGGGCTTTGGCCCTGGTGCAAGGTAACCAGGCGCCAGCTCACCCCAGGGGACCTTCTGCATCCCCCACAGCCTCTCTAGGAGAACAAGCAGGGACCAGTCCCATCTCACATCAGCAGCTGTCCCTGGGTTCCCCTCCAATGCCCGAGCTCTAGACGCAAGGCCCAGGAATCCCCCAAGCCCCGACCTCCTCTGTCCCCCCACCCCCACGAGGTGCTCCCAGGAGGTGGCATGGTGGACACCAGAACAGGGCAGCAGAAGCACTTTATTCTGAGGCAGGCTGGGCCTGGGCAGCCCATTGGCTGCAGCCAAGAGCCTAGACTGGGTGGGGCTGGTTGTCCCCAAGGCCTGGCCCAGGGGCTGGTGGTCTGGGTTTGTGCCCCACAGAGCCTTTGGCTGGGATGCAGGCATTCAGGATGAAGGAGAGGGGTCACTTTTTCCGGAAAATCAAGCACTTGTTGTTGGCAGGCATGTCCACCTGGAGAAACATTATGCTGGAGGAGCGGCCCTTGGACCGCAGGGAGGCCACCTGGGCCCCCAGCCCTCCCCACCTACCATCCTTTCCAGGAGCAGGCCACTGGCCCGGCCCAGGTCCCCCAGGAAAGCTGTATCCCGAAGCCCCCACTCTGGGTTCCTACAGGAAGGAGGGAGACAGAGTCATGGCCTCAGGGGGTGCTCAGCCCACCTGCCCTCCAAGCTGGGCCCCCTCCCACCCACCTCTGACCTGCATCTGAGGGTCAGGTCAAAATCCACGTTGCTCTGGGGAGAGATCTTCCCATCGACAGCATAGGGCTGTGGGGACAAGGGATACGGCCACTGGATGAGGGTCAGCCATTCCCCAGTGGGCCTTGGGACAAACTTGCAGGCTGGGCCCAAAGAATGAAATTGACATAGCCCCTTCCCTGCCCCAGGAGGGAGACAACCAGGAGGGTACAGAGAGACTGGCTGGTGACAGGCTGGTGACAAGGAGGGGGGAGGGCCTGAGTCTGTTCAAATGTTGGTGACTGGTAGCCACAGGAGGGTCCTTGAAGAGGAAGGAGGCTGTGCCCATGGCTAGCCAGAGCTCAGACGGGGGCCAGGCTAAGCAGGGAGGCAGGGAATCCGGATAGCAGCAACGCCAGTAGGAACAGGGCTGGGGGGGTAGGAGGCCCTGGCAGGACTACTCACTCCATAGGTGATGAGCAGAGCCTTGGGTTTGAGCAGGTGTCCCGCTGCTCTGAAGAGCCCCTGAGAAGGGGAGATAAAACAGCAGTGAGGCCCCTCCCCCAGTCCCTTTTGGAACATGGGGTGAATCTGCATCCCTGCTCCCCCCTTAGCGCAGCAGCATGGCAGAGAGTGGCCTTGCCCGGCTCTGCCCACAGACCTCCGTGCACTCCACCGGACTGATGTGCATCATGTTGATGCAGAGCAGCAGGTCCAGCGACTGCGGCAGGATCCCGCCCCACTGCTCCCAGTGCCAGGTTACGTCCAGGTACAGCGGGGCCTTCACGTTGGACAACCCCTGGGCTTGAGTGGTGGCCAGGATGCTGGGGGAGGGGAGCGCACGGTGGGGCCCAGTTTGGCCTGGCCCGGAAGCCCGCCCACTTTCACAACCCAGGTGTCCTGCCCGGGCGCCCCGGGCTCACCCCGTTCCGCACGCAGACCCGGGCCGCCCTTTCCTGCCAGGGCTGCTCGGGGAGGGGCCTAAGGCGGTGCGGGACCCGGACGGCGGCTCCCGGGGCTCACCCTGCCCCGGCCGCACCTGTCCAGGCAGCGCTGGTCCACGTCAGACGGCTGCCACTCGGCGTGGGGGAAGGCCTGTGCGAAGTGGGCCGCGTGCTGGCCGGAGCCCGAGGCCACCTCGAGCACACGGACGCCGCGCTGGGCAGGGTCCACGTACTGCCGCAGCACGCTCAGGATGGGCTCCTTGTTTCGCTCGGCGGCCGCCGCCACCAGCATCGTTGCGGCCTCATCCGCCCCGCCTGCGGCCCGGCGCGGGGCACGCCGGGAGCTGTGGCGCGCTGGCTGCGTCACCGGCCGGAGCGACTACAACTCCCAGCAGGCTGCGCGCCGCCCGCCAAGGCGCCGGCAGCAGCGCCTGGGCTGCGGTTTCTGGACGACTCTGGGCTCCATCTCCCGTCGCCCGAGTTTTCGCTTCACTCGCCGCTAAGTTGGTGTCGCTCGTGCCGCACCAGAACCGGTGCCTCCCGTGTCGGGGTCGTCTCTCCTCTCCCCTGAGAGGGGTGGGACTTCGTTTTTGAGATGGGAAAAGTCAAAACGTTGCCTGCGCCGCCCGGGAATCGAACCCGGGTCGCAAGAATGGGAATCTTGCATGATACCACTACACCAGCGGCGCCGCTGCGTGGCTGTGCGCCCGCGCGCCTAGGATGTGGTGATGCGGCCGCCGCGGGAACCCGGGCCGGCGGGCTCTCGCGGGCGTTCCTGGCGTCTTCCGCCTGAGGGAAAGAAGCGGGACGCGGCTTTGTCGACGGCCTCGCCACGGACTCCGCGGACGCTCGGGGCGGTGGGGCGGGGGCCGCCCAGCGGGGCGCGGGGTTCTCTGTGACGCTGAGGCGAGCAGCGCCAGCTCGGGGTCCAGGGACAGCCTGCGGGGTCGGTGACCCCTGAGGTCACCCTGGGGAGCTGCGACTGTGTGGCCCGGGGCGCCTCCCTGCTTGGGGCCCCATCTCGGAGGGGCGCCTGTTGGAGAAAACGCCGAGGGCCGTGCTCCGCGGTCAGGACCGGCTTAGCCCCTTTGCCGGGGGTCTAGAAGAACGAGGGCCCACCCGGGCGTCACTCCGGCCCCCACCCGGACTTGAGGCTGCGTCGCCGTGGAGAGGGGTGCCCGAGTCAGGCGCCCAGCGTGGCTGTGCGTAACCAGGGAGGCCCAGACCTGGGGTTGGCCGGCGTGGACAGCCCCCTGAGCGGGCGCTGCCGTCCAGGGTTCGCAGGGGCTCTGACCGGGCGCTGCAGCTTTCCCCCTTCCAAGCCCCAAGCTTTCTTCACTTGGGTCACCTTGGGAATCACTTGCTCCTGGTTTGTGCACTGAGCATTTTCCAGTGTCCAGGTCGAGGGAGGTGAGGCGAGGCCTCCCTCGATGCACATCCCTGCTCCCAACCCCACCTCCAGAGAGGTCTCAGCACCCAGGTGTCCCCTGGGACACCCTGGGCACAGAGCAGGGGGCCCGAGATTGAGCTTCCTGCTCCCCTTGTTGTTTGGAGTTGCTTTAAGGAGCTGCCCACAGTGCCCAGCAGATGATGTCACGTGTAATAGTATTTGACACCTGCCCGCCAGAGTTCATTGCTCTGGGTTGGATGCTGGGTAGGTCAACACCTGCACTGGGCACTCACTGAGCTGAGCCTGGAGGGGCTGAGTGGTGGCCTTCGCTGCAGCGAGCGTGTGTGAGCACACATTTTCTGGAAAGTCATGGAGGTGCATCAGACACTGGCAGGGTACCAGGACCCCCTCAGGATATTGAAAAAGGGATATCTAGAAGGGTCCCACAGACCCTGGGTGTCCCTAGGGAGCTGGAGTTGAGTCTGTTGAGGCTGGATCATTGTCGGGCCATAAGTATCATCTCCGGAGGCTGAATTTGGCTCCTAGGCACCCCCTTTAGAGACTTATTTTACACCAGGTAGAAGGTACTGTGGCACCGGCCACCTTCCCAAACAAGTGTTTCTACACATGGTAAAATCAACAGTGCCCGGACAGCCTCGAGTCCTGGCTTTGTGCCGTGGAGGAACACAGCAGCACCTCCTGGCCCTGGCCCCAGCACTTCCTCCTGGCAGGGTCCCCTTGTTGCCCTTCCACCTCCAGGAGCCTCCTGCCCCTGACTTCCTGGGACCTGGCCTATGGGAGGGGCTTAGGAAATGTCTGAGGAGGGAGGGCAAGTCACCTTCCCCCAGGGAAGGGCCTGGGAGCCAAGCCTCACCCACCAGCCTTCCCCCAAAGGGACAGCCCCATGACGTCCAGGGCCCACAGCTGGGGACAGCTTCTCTCCCAGGGTCCAGTCTCATGTGCCCACTGTTCACTGGACCCCCCGCCCCAGCGGGGTCCCATGTCCCTGCGCTCCCTTTCCCAAGCCTCCTCCCATTCCCACACCCACCACCACTTTCCTCCTTATATTTCCTATGGCTGCTGTCAACAAATTACCCCAACACTTGGTGGCTTAAAACAACACATTTATTTCTTTCCCGTTCTGGAGACAGAATTCCATAATAAAACTGTCAGCCTCCTCCAGAGACCCTCCTGTAGAGGAGGATCCTTCCTGCCTCTCGCAACTTCCAGCATATCCAGGTGATTCCTGGCTGTCTCAGCCTCCCGAGTAGCTGGGACTACAGGCATGCACCACCATGCCCGGCTAATATTTTGTATATATATTTTTAGTTGGTCATTTAATTTCTATTTTTAGTAGAGACGGGGTCTCGCTCAGGCTGGTTTTGAACTCCTGATCTCGAGCAATCTGCCCACCTCGGCCTCCCAGAGTGCTAGGATTACAGGCGTGAGCCACCATGCCTGGCCCTTGTTTTTCTTTTTTTTTGAGACAGAGTCTCACTGTGTTGCCCAGGCTAGAGTGTCGTGGCGTCAGCCTAGCTCACAGGAACCTCAAACTCCTGGGCTCAAGGGATCCTCCTGTCTCAGCCTCCCAAGTAGGTGGGACTACAGGCATGTGCCACCATGCCTGACTAATATTTTCTATGTAGATTTTTAGTTGTCCAGCTAACTTCTTTCTATTTTTAGTAGAGACAGGGGTCTCGCTCTTGCTCTGAGCGATCCTCCCACCTCGGCCTCCCAGATGCTAGGATTAAAGGTGTGAGCCACCACGCCCGGCGCCAGACCTCCTTTCTCTTATGATGCATGTCACTGCATTTAGGGCCACCCTAATCCAGGAGGTTTTCATCACAAACTCCTTGCCCTAATTATATTTGCAAAGGCTCTTATTCCAAATAAGGTCACATTCTGAGGTCCCAGGGGGCCATGTCTTTTGGGGCCACCATTCAACCAGTGATACCTGGATTTGGGAACAGGGTGAGCAACTCCTAGGAAACCAGGAGGGCGATGGTGGTACACCCAACCAGAGCCTTTTCCTGGGGGCCACTTGAGCATTATAGAAACCCGTCTTCAAGGTCTTCAAGGCTCGGTTGGTCAGAGCAAGGATTTTATTTTTAACTTTTTAATTTTTTTACTTAAGATATGTCATGGACAAGAGCAAGGATTTTAGATCTGAAAAAACCAATTGAGGATGGATGAAAGCTTGAACTTTTTTCACCTTTTATATAAAATTTTAGTATCTTAGTTAGAGACTTTTTCAAGAAGAAAAAAAAGGACTTGGTCATTAGGATGACTGGGGTCTGTGAGGAAAGGGCCTTTTCTTGCCCTGCCTGCTGGGTGAGGCCACTCCAGTCCAGCTGCAGACCACCAGGACCCTGTGCTGACAGCAGGGAGGCTGCCGGCTCCAGAGCACTGCCTCTGGGGGGCTTCCGTCAGTCCAGGGAAGGCCTTGAGGTCACCAGGAGCCGCCACCCCATGCTGGGCTGGCCAGGGTTCCCACCCAACTAGGAGAGCCGGCCCCAAGCCCCACCACCCCTGGAACTGAGCTGAGGCCCATCCAGACCCTGACCTCGCAGGGCCCTCCCCCAAGGCTAGATGATGCCGGCCTCACAGAGGCCCCGGCTGCCTCTGTGCTCAGGCAGCCTGGGAAGGCCATCCCTGGAGACCGCTCCCGCCCCCTGCTTGTGCTCAGGACCTGTCTCAGCTCCCTCTGGCCAGTGTTGCCTTGGGGATCACGGGCCTCCTCACCTGCCCCTGCCCTTTGGCCTGTCAGGGTGTTTCTTTGCCCAAGGTTCCTCCCTCAGAGCCCCTCTTTTCTTTTGAGATGGCGTCTGGGTCTGTCTGGAGGGCAGTGGTGCAATCACAGGTCACTGCAGCCTTGACCTCCTGGCCTCAGGTGATCCTCCCACCTAGGCCTCCCAAAGTGCTGGGACTATAGGTGTGAGCCACTGCCCCCAGCCCTGGGAGCCCTTTTGAAGGCTTCTGGACCCAACCTTTGACCTCAGATGTGGCATGTTGGGGCTGGACATTTGGGCTGTGTGGCTTGACCACCGGTGGTTTATGCAAAGGTCAGGCGCTGCCGGGCTCTGATCAAGTCTGCCTCATCCTCGCTGCCTGCAGCGAATGCTGGGGGTGGGTTCCTTGTGTGGCCCTCAGAGGGCTGTCAGCTTGGGGGTGTGCAGGTCCTCACCAGGGCCTTCCTCCCCTGCCCCCACTCTAACTCAGCGGCCTGTCCCTCCATGGCCCTCAGCACCCTGTCCTGCCCCCAGTGTGTGTGAGTGACCATGCGCAAGGCCACTAGCAGAGGCCAGGCCAGGCTGCAGGCTGCGCAGACACCTCAGCACCATGCTGGCCCTGAAGGCCAGTGGCTCTGGTCTGGTGGGGGAGGGACAGGAGTGGGTGTGGAGGGGGGCAGTCAGTGAGGGGTCAGCTTGGCCAGTGAGGGGCCTTTCTCAGGCCCATGCTCAGGCCTGGACTCCCTGGACATGGCTGGTCTGGGGGCTGGCCACCCCTCCCGACCCCTGCCAAGACCCCCCCACCCCATGTGGGGCATGTTGCGTGCTGTCCGGAGATTCAGAAGGAAAGAACTGCTCCAGCCCTTGTCCCCAGGTGGGAGTCCCTTGGCATCCCCTGGGAGAATCTGTGGTCACTGGACACCCCCAGGCCCTGGCACCAGCACACACCGGGCCTCCTCAAATACCTGTGGTTGGAGTGCACGCCTGGGGGCCCAGGTGGCAGAGCTCAGCCCTTGTCTCTTCAGGTGGGGGACATCCAGGATTGAACTCGGGGCCATGCCCACAAGCCCAGGCTGAAACCGGCTAGCGTGTGGTCCTGGACAGCACTGAGCAGGGGTCTTCTGGGATCTGGTTTCTGAGCAGCCCTTGGGCTGGGAGGAAGGAACCCAGAGGCACAGCATAGTGAGAGGTGGGAGCCCCTGGGTTACGGTGTCTCCCCTGCTTAGTCCTGGCTCCTGGGCCTGCAGCTCCCAGGAGGTGACACATGACACTTCTGGGGCACCGTCCCTGCAGGGTCTTGGGCAGAAACCACTGCTCCACCCACTGCCTGGGAGTGTGGGGGTAACTGCTCCCTGACATGGGATGACTTAGCCTAGGTGGGACTGCCTCCTGCACCTCCTCTCATCCTGCCCTTGGAGTGGTGAGTGGCCTGTGCCTCCCTGGCACTGGGGGTGCACCTTGCACCCAGGGTGGGACAAGGAGCTGAGTGCAATGAGGAGCTGAGTGCAACTGGGGGCTCTGAGCCTTCGGGGTGGAAGGGATTCGCAGGGCGTCATGTGTCTGCCCAAATCCAGGGGGACAAACTCCCTCTTCTCTTCTCAGACCCAGACCCAAGCCAAGGGTAACCACTCACACTGGCCCGGGCCTCTCCAGGGTCCTTGGCAGAAGCTCCCGAAATCTGAGTGGAAAATCCGAGCTTCCAGGGTCTGCGCCTAGCGCCCCCCAGCACCAGCAGGCTCCCCAACCAGGCTGGCACCTCGCCCTAGGGTCGGAGCCCCGCCCACTGTCTTACCTGGCTTCAGGCAGCAGACAGCCCTCCCAGGCCCCAGGGCACTCCACCGTCCTTGGCCTTGGGCCGCGAGGGGGTGGCGCGGTGGCTTCTGCGGGCTCCGCCCCTGCCTCGCGGCGCCCGCCTGGGCCAGTTTCCCAAAGGGCCCGAGCGCCGCCTCCGCCGCGTGCCCCCGGGTCGGCCGGAACCCGCGCGGGCCCTTTAAGGGCCGGGGGCGTGTAGCGGGCCCGCCCCCTCCCCGCAGCGCCGGCCGCCGGTAAAGTGCGAGCCCGGGCGGAGGGCGCCGGATCCGACCGCGGGCGTGCGTCCGAGCGAGCGCGGGGAGCGGCCCTTCACGCGGGAGCCCGGCGCGCCATGTACACCATCACCAAGGGGCCCAGCAAGCTGGTCGCGCAGCGCCGCACAGGTGGGCCGGGCGGGACGGGGAGCAACGCCGCGGGCGCCGGGGTCTGCGCGCCCAGGGGCGCGGCGGCGGCTGACACGGCCTCCCGGTGCCCGCAGGTCCCACGCAGCAGCAGGTGGAGAGCAGGCTCGGCGAGCTCCTGAAATGCCGGCAGCCCGCGCCGCAGACCGCGCCGCCCCCGCAGGCGCAGCCACCGGGACCCTGGCCCCTGTCGAGGTGAGGCGCGCGTGGCCCCGGCCCGAACCCGGCCCTCCGCGCACCCCGGCCGCCGCGGCGCCGCGAGGGTGACCTTGGGGGAAGGTTGGCGAGGCCGGGCCACATGCTTGGGGCGGGGCGGGCGCGCCGAGGGGGCGGGGTGCGCCGGGCAGCTGGCAGCGCGCGCCCCTCTGCTCTTCCGCCGCACCTGGCTGGGCTCGGTGTGCCCGGACCCGCCTGGCCGCGTGGGGCCCCTGCGGGCCTCGGGCGGGGAGTCGCTGACCAGCTGGATCGCAGGCGCCCTGCGCGACCTTGGGCTGCGTGTTTGCACCCCTTTGGGGCAGACCCAGGTCAAGGTTTGCGGACAGCTGCTCAGGGCGCCGGCCCTCAAGGTCTCCTGGCGCCGTCGTCGTCGCAGAGCTCAGTGGGGGAGAGGTCCCTGTGTCTCGCTCTGGCCTTGCCAGGCCACGGCCCTCCCGCCTTCCACCCCACATGCCCCGGGGCGCGGAGCTCCGCCTCCCCAGCAGGCGCTCCCACGTCCATGTGGCTTCTGCCTTTCCCAAGCAGCGAGTCTGCCCAGTGCCCTCCTGAGACCGCAGGAGGCTCAGTCCTGACCACTTTGACCTCCACGTGAGCACAACCTAGAGGTCACACACCGCCCCAGGGCAGAGCCTTCTACTTCCTCAGCTCAACCACTCCCTAATCTTTTCATTTACATCATGTGTTTCCCAGGCCTCTGGACTTTGCTCTAACCCCACATGGGGCTGGGGGCACCCGGAATCTGGCTTAGGGGGGGCACATGAGTCCTGGTGGCCGTGCTGGGGGGGCCTTGGTTGGAGAGTGTGGGCCCAGAGTGGGGGCTTTCCACACTGAGCGTGAACACCCTCCCTGAGTGGCCAGGAGTTCAGAGTAGCTAAGGTGGGCTGTGTGTTGCTGGGGCACATAGACCCTTGGGCAGGATCCTAGTGAAGGAAGTGGGCCCTGGGGAGGGAGGTGAGCGAGGCCCCAGAGTGTTCCCTGGCACTCAGGCTGAGCTGGGCAGCTGCTCACATCAGCTCTGGTGATCACGGCCACCCTGCCTCCTAGGGGAGGAAACCGGACCACAGGTGCTCACCACACACAGCCACCCAGGCAGGAAGCACCCTCCCACCTGGGGAAACATACTTCCACCCTGAGGCCCCACTGCTGGGGAGGGCAAGGCTGTGGCAGGGTTGGGGGCGTGTCTGGGGAGAAGAGGGGTGTTCCCTGGAGGAGCGCTCAGTGGGCAGGGGTCTCGGTGTTTTCACTAGAGCCCTTAAAGCCCTCAGGAGGCCAGCCCTGGTGTGATGTCTAAAGTCTGCCTCAGCCAGCCAGGTGGGACAGGCAGGAGTCCCAGGGGGCTTGACGTCCCCATCCTGCTGGATGCAGAAGCCCTGGGCAGGGCGTGTGCCAGAGGGGCTTGTGGGGTGGGGCCACCCTCCTGCTTCCCAAGGCCCCCTCCCAGGCCATGGGCTGGGAGCTTCTGGGAGCTGTGGTGCCCACAGCCCAGCCTTGCACCTTCCTGGGGGGCCACTCTCTGTAATACCCTGCTTTTCTTCAAGTTCTTCCTGCTGGGGGTGGTGGGGGGACAATAAGATGAACTGAGATGATATCCATTGCCAAGTGGAAGATAAAATGGGGCCCTGTGATCACCTGACCCCAGGGTTGAGCTGGGCTGGGTGTGCAGGGACCGCCCTAGGAAGGAACCCTGGGCTGAGCCCACGTGGGAGAAGGGGGCGTGGTCTGTGGCTTAGCAAGGACAGGTCCAGGAGGCTGGCTGGGGCCCAGCTTTGCCATCAGGACTGCTGTTAGAACTGGTGCTGCCACCAGAGCATGGTCACGGCACTTGCCTCCCAGCCCAGTTCCTGGGCTGGATGGGTGGGTGGTGGAGGGGTGTGGGCTGCGGCTGCCCCCGGGCAGCATTCTCGAGAGTGGGTACGGATTGGCCGCCGTCCACAGGTGCACGCCGGAGCTGGTGCCCTTTCCCCCAGAGAGCAGCCGCCTTATGTAACCGCACCTTCTTGGGCAGGGTGGGCGGGGCAGGAGGGCCCTGCCTGCTGGGGCCCCGTCTCAGCCCTGAGGCTGGCACCCCTGGCCCTGCAGTTCCTTCTCTTTTTTAAAGTTGATACCCAGGCCCGGCGCGGTGGCTCATGCCTGTAATCCTAGCACTCTGGGAGGCCGAGGCGGGTGGATTGGTCGAGGTCAGGAGTTCAAAACCAGCCTGAGCAAGAGCGAGACCCCGTCTCTACTATAAATAGAAAGAAATTAATTGGCCAACTAATATATACAGAAAAAATTAGCCGGGCATGGTGGTGCATGCCTGTAGTCCCAGCTACTCGGGAGGCTGAGTGAGGCAGGAGGATTGCTTGAGCCCAGGAGTTTGAGGTTGCTGTGAGCTAGGCTGATGCCACAGCACTCACTCTAGCCTGGCACTTCCCTCTAGCCTGGGCAACAAAGTGAGACTCTGTCTCCAAAACAAAAAAAAGTTGATACCCAGCCACCACGCTTTCCTGGAGAGTTTTCACCCTTCCAGAGTGGGCATGGTTGCAGGCAAGGGGGCTTTCCAAGTGGACAAACCCTCCTTATTCCCTCCGGTTTGTGGGGAGACTCAGGCAGAGCACAGGTCTGGGAGGGGCCCCTGCCCCCCCCCACCTCCACCTGCACAGTTAAGATTCTCTGCGGCCACCAGACCCTGCCGGCCCTGGGGCTGGCAGGACCCTGCGCCCCTCAAGACACTCCTCTTTGTTTTAGTGCCCCTCTCACCTGAGGAGGAACCCAGAGCGGCGGTGGGGCACCTGAGCCCAGGAAGGCGAGCAGGCCTGCCGGGACCGCGAGTGCCTGGCGGAGTAGCAGGCGCAGCCCAGGACTCCGGCTCCCACCTCCTGCTGTAGGTGCGGGCCCCATTTCCTCCGTGGCCCCTGTCCCAGGCTTCCTGTGTGCAGGGCTTGGCCAGCTGCCGCCGGCTGGGGTGACCCATCCCTGTCCTGGGCCCACCTGGCAGAGACAGGCCCAGTGGCCCCTGGACATTGCGGCGTGCAGTGCCATGGGGGGCCATCTCATTCTGCATTGCCCCTGTCTCGGGCCTGCAGGGAATGGGCTGGGGTCTCAGCTACACTCCTCCCACTTAGGGACTCCCCATCCTGGCACTTGGTGATCACCCCCAGGGACCGGGGACAGCTGGGGAGAGGGAGGGGCCTGTTCTTGTTTGGGTCCGGGTCTTCCATGGCTGGGGGGTGTCATTGGGCAGAGAAACTTCCGTGGGTCCAGGATGTGGCCAAGAACTGCGCCCAGTGGGTGGGGTTGGACAGAGACCTGGTCACGGCTCAAGCCAGAACTGGGACTGCCGGAGGTCTGGCCAGTCTGGGGCAGGGGTGCGGGAGGCAGATGGCAGTACGGGCACCAGCATGATCCTAAGAGGGGCACTTGGTGGACGACCCCCTGCCCAACCATCACTCACCTCCCTGGGGCTGAGGGTAGCGGGTGTGAGCTGCACTGCTGGTGGCTCAGGGCCTGCGGGAGAGAGGCCTGGGCCACCAGCTGCTGCAGGTAGCCACTCTGGTTCAGGAAGTGCCTAGGCCGGCCTGCTCTGGGGATGGTGGTCGTGGCCCAGGGCTGCTCCTGAGGTGTGCCAGGCAGCACCTAGGCCTGGGACAGGTGCTGACCATGTCTGTCTCCTCCCGCTCCTGCAGTTCCGGGCCCAGGCTCGTGTTCAATCGCGTGAATGGCCGGCGGCCCCCTGCCACATCCCCCTCTCTCGAGGGGACCCAGGAGACCTACACACTGGCCCACGAGGAGAACGTCCGCTTTGTGTCCGAAGGTAGTGAGGGGCCCAGAAGGGTTTGGCCCAGGCCACTGGGTCTCAATGTGGACCTGGGATGGCCCCGGGCCCTCCTCCCACTGCAGCCAACTCCCGGTAGCAGAGAGCTGTGCTTCTCCTTGGCTCTGTGCCCATTTGTCTTGTGACCGTTGAGCAGGCTGCCCATTCCCTGTGCTGGGCTGGAGTCCAGGGTGACCGCCAGGCCCCAGGGCGGGAGATGGGGTGCCAAAGACCTGGCTCGGCCTGACTGCCCCACCCCCACAGCCTGGCAGCAGGTGCAACAGCAGCTGGATGGTGGCCCAGCCGGTGAGAGTGGGCCGAGGCCGGTGCAGTATGTGGAGAAGACCCCCAATCCCCAGCTTCAGAGTGAGCCCCCAACCCTGTCCCCTGGGGAATTTCCTCCCAGACCCTGTTCCCCCAGGGAGTGCCCCCCACCCCTCTGATCCTGACCTGGGCCCCTGCCAGGTTATCGCCCCAGGGGGTTGGGGAGGGGACTCTTGGACCCAATCCCTTCTTCCCGGTGCCTGCTCTGCTTAGTGTCCCCGTGAAGGGTTGGTGGGGTCGGCTGGAGAGGAGAGATGCCGGCTGGTCTGGGGGGCAGCATCACTGCCCAGCCTTCTGCTCTGCCCACAGACTTCGTGCCCATCGACCTGGACGAGTGGTGGGCGCAGCAGTTCCTGGCAAGAATCACCAACTGCTCATAGTGGCTTCCTGGGAAGGAATGCTGCCTCGGTGGACCCTTCGCCAGAAGAGGACCTTGGTGCCCTATCCACCCACTGCGGGCTGGCTGGGCGCCGGCCACACCTGAAGTGCCAGCATTTGGACTTTTGCACCTGTTGTTTCCTTGGCCCAGCTGTTCCAAGCTGCCAGGGGCCAGGGGCCAAACCTGTCTGACCTCAACCCTGCTCACTGTGCCCAGGGACCAGCCCCTGGGGCTGGCAGGGAGGAGCTCCAGTCTAATAAAGTTGAGAAACTGCCCTTTCAGAGTGGCTTTGACTTGGGGGAGTGGGGGTGGGGTTCTCCAGTCCCCAGTGTGGGACTCTGGGCCCAGGTCAACCTGCCCTTGCAGCCTGGTCCCCCAAGCCAGCAGACGGTGCAGCTCTGCCCACCTCAGGTCCTTGGTGTCTCACCCAGCTGTACCCCTGACAGGTGCTGGGGTCCTTGGTCGGCTCCCTTTGCTTGGAAGTATGTGGCCCCAACTGTGCCACATCTGACTCCACTGGTCTTCCTCTCCTGTTAGCATTGCCTGGCGCCATAGCCAGGCCCCAAGGCCCAGAGATGTTAATGCTGTGGGGTGGGGTCCTCACCCTCTAGGACTGGAATTAGGTCTCAGAATACCTGATCACACTCTGAATCCACCTGACTTGGCTGCAGGACACTGGGCAAAGGTGTCCCACAGGTCTAGGAGTGTGTGCTGACCTGCTGAGACAAGTGTGGGAGTCAAACCCTGTGGGTACCTGTGGGGCACAGTGCTCTGCCTGAGGGGCAGGGTGACCTTGCCCGCCTCACAGCGGCGGACCCTGGCTGTTGACCAGGTGCTTCCAGAGGCCTGGAAAGCAGCAGGCCTCCGGCCTGGAGGGAGGAGCCCCTGCCAAGTGCAACTCCACAAAAGCGGGGGTGCATCTCCTATATACAGATGGGCCCCAGAGAGGATCAGCAGCGCCCCTGGCTGCCACAGCTGGTCACGCTAGAGCGCGGGTTCGGGGCGGAGTCTTGGAGCGGTCCTGAGCTGGGGCGGGTGCCCTGGCCGCTGCTCCGAAGAGTCCTGGCGCCGCGCGTGCACGTGGGCCCCGGGCGCCGCCATGACAGCGGAAGTGGCGCCGTTGCCAGGCGGCCGTTGCTAGGCGCCGCGCTGCGTGCCCTGCGTGGGGCGCGGCGGCAGAGGCGGGAAGCTCGAGCTGTGGCGCCATGGCCCCGGGTAGCGGCGCGCGCGAGTCCGGGGCTTCGGCCGGACTGTGGTGGGGCGAGCCGGGGTCCAGGCGCGCTGGGCGGGGGTCCCGGGGTCCCGGAGGCGGCGTCCGGAGCGCGCGGCGGCCCTGCCGGGGCCCCGAGGTCAGAGGCCCGGCCCCGTCCGCCCTTGCTGCTGCTGGCATTGCCGGCGGCGACACTGGGTGGCCCTCTCTGGGGGCTGGCTCCTCACCCCTGGCGCCCTTCCCCGCAGCGTGGCAGCAGCCCTTCCTCAACGTCTTCAGACACTTCAAGGTGGACGAGTGGAAGCGGTCCACCAAGGAGGGGGACGTGGCTGTGGTGACGGTGCGTGGGCTGGGGGGCCTGGCGCCCTTCCTTTCCTACTGGGGACCTCCCCGCCCCCGCCCCGAGGGTCACCAGGTCGGTGCTTCTCCTGGGTGCCCCTGCCCGTAAGTGGACGCGGGCTGCCATCTCCCCAGGACAAGACCCTGAGGGGCAGCGTGTATCGCATCCGGGGCTCCGTCTCTGCCGGCAGCTACATCCAGCTCCCCAGGACCAGCACACAGTCCCTGGGGCTGACGGGGCGGTACCTGTACGTGCTCTTCCGGCCCCTGCCCAGCAAGCACTTTGTCATCCACCTGGACGTGTCCACCGAGGTACCGAGCCTGGGTCACGGGCTGCGTGTGGGGGCCCTGTGTCCCCGCCCCCGCTTCTCCTCAAAGCCACTCTGCCCTGCAGGACAGCCAGGTCATCCGAGTGTCTTTCTCCAGCCTCTTCAAGGAGTTCAAGTCCACAGCCACATGGCTTCAGTTCCCCTTTGTCTTTGAGGCCAGGACAACCGGGAGAGGTGACACTGAACCTGGGGGTCCAGGGGCGATGGTGCAGGCCCAGCCAGGCTCTCGTGTGGCCTGGGGCTGGGACAGCTGGTGGGGCACCAGTCACAGTTGTGGGAGTCGGGCTGTCTAGAGGGGAGGTGCTGACCTTGAGTGCCCATCCTGTAGACCTTGCAGGTGCGGCGCCCCCGGGTGCCCGCTGGACCTTCCTGCAGCTCGACCTGCAGGACATCCTTCTGCTCTACCTGAACCGCAGCTACAGCCACCTCAAGAGTGTCAGGTTGTGTGCCAGCCTGCTGGTCAGAAACCTCTACACCAGCGACCTGTGCTTTGACCCAGGTGAGGGCCGCATGCACACCTGCGCTGAGTGGTAGCCGGCTGCCTTCCCGGCCTCCGTGCTGGTCTCCACTTCCTCCCTCACCTCAAGTTCTCAGCCCGGCAGAGGCCCAAGTCCCAGTGCATGATGAAGGTGCCTGTGCCACAGTCTTGGAGCTCCGGATTGGTGCATCTGGAAGCCTGAGCCTCCCACTGCTGTGGCAACAGGCCTGAGGGGGAGGTGGTGGGTGCCGGGTGTTGGGTCCTGCCCAGGCCTGGGAGAGGTGATTGGACAGGTGTCCCTTGATCTGGTGTAAGCTTGTTTCTTGTAGCTGTCACTGTCACTGGGGCCCAGAGGGCCAAGCTGCCCGTCATTCCTGTGCCTCGGGAGATGGCGTTCCCGGTGCCAAAGGGGGAGAGTTGGCACAACCGCTATATCCACGTGCGGTGAGTGGCTCTGCCTCTCTCAAGGGAGGCCCCTGGGTGTGCAGAGGGCAGGTGGGCTCTGGGCCCCAGATGTGGACTCTCCATCCGCCGGCCTAGGTTTCCACGTGATGGCATGGAGGTGCCTCCGGAGCCAGTTCCGAAAAGCTGTTCTCCAGCGGCAGGTGGGCCTGGGGGTCAGAGTGGACCTGGGTTCAGGCCTGCAGGCACATGCAGCTTGGCGGGAGGAGATGCTGTGGTTGCAGTGGCAGGTGCCCAGGGCAGCTCACGGCAGGCACAGGGACCGGGACAAGCCCACAGGATGCAAACTCCTGAAGCCACGTGGGAGGTCTGTGCGAGGGGTGCTTGGGGGGCCCCTAACCTTCTAGTTGGAAAAGGTGGGTCCCAGGGCTGGGTGGAGGGTGAGCAGCAGTGCTGGTGTGGCTTCTCTCCTGCAGAGCAGGTGAGGCCGGGGAACATCTGTGGCCTCCGTGGCCGTGCCTGGTGGCCTCGTCCTCCCCAGGCGCCTTGTGCCCTGCTCAGCCAGTCACTGGGGCTCTCGGCTCCGTTGCAGTCCTCCCGGGCCCTGCGCCACGGCTTCTTCCCTGCCTGGTGGCTGTCAGCAGACCCACGCAGGACAGCGTGTCCCCTGAGGTCCAGACACCCAGCCCCACAGCCGTGAGTGCCGCCTCCCCGCAAGACAGGGCCGGGACATGGTGGGCCCAGGGTGCCGGCGGACACTTGTTCCTCCACGGTCCTGCCAGGCCCCCTCGGTGCCCAGGCCCCTCCCAGAGGTCACCCTGTCCTGCGAGTGCTCGGAGAGCTCCAGTGTCCGTGGCCGAGAGCCCTCGGCCCAGATGGAGTCCGCTGAGGTGGACGTGGCTGCCGACGGCGTCCACGTTTTTGCTCACGAGTCAGCTGTGGTGCCCGTGACCTTTGAGGACACCGGCTCCCGAGAAGTAAGTGCGTCCCGGAGCAGGCAGGGCCGGGCGAGGTGGGGGTCGGGCTGCCGGGCCTGTGCCTGCCACGCGCTGTGTCAGGATAGACGGTCCTCTGATGGTCTCTCGTCATCAGCCTCCCAGTAGAAAGCAGAGCGGGCAGGAGGCAGCTTTGGGCAAGGATCTCTCTCAACAAAGGGTAAGGAAGAGCTTATGCTCAGCCCTCAACCGTATGTGACTCCCCACCCCCAAGAGGTTTGTGGGGCCTTGGGCACCAAGTGGGGGCAAGACCCGGGGTCCCCAGAATCCTGGCAGTTTCTTTCCATGGAGCAGCCCGTGTGGGGCTTTCCCGAGAGGCGGGGCCCAGCCTGGATGGGGTGGGGGTTGGGTGCTCCCGGATCTCACCTGCGTTCTCTGTTGCAGCACTTTCTCCCGGACCCCATCCTGAGGCTCAAGGGAGTCATCGGCTTTGGGGGCCACAGCACCAAATGGGTGAGGGTCCCATGCTGTGTCCAGGACGGCTCTTGCTGGGTAGTGTGAGTGTCAGGGAAGACCCCGTGTAGCCCCGAGGCGGCTGTGTGGGTCCCCAGCTCCCTCAGGGCACGGGGCCCTTCCCCTCGAAGGCTTGGCTGGTTTTCCTTGGTCCTCAGATGTCCACCCTGCCCATGTCTGCACGTTACCACCTGGACCACCTGGGCTTCCGGGGCCATGAGTGTCTCCTATTCGCTGACTGGAGCCCCAGGGGCCCTGGTTGGGTTAAGGTGCTGGTTAAAACGCTCTCACTTAAGTCTGTGGTTTCTGACGAGCACAGCCCAGCCACGTGGGGCCAGGTCATGGGTGTGACCTCAGGTCCTGATGATTGAGGTGGGTGTTCTAGGGGAGGAAGACCCCCACCTGGAGAAGAGGTGGCCTTCCCTCCTGCTCCACATGGCCCTGGGCACCTGTCAGGCCTTCCTGGGCACAGGCTCTGAGTCTCTGGGGGCCATTTGGTCTTTTGTTACCCAAACCCCAGGGTTTCTTGCCCTGGAGTGGGGCTTGGGGGACGTGCGTGTGTGTGTGTACATTCTTCATGCATCCTGTTGACTCATGCATGTGTGGTGTGGGGTGGCCGTGAGTGCTCTCCTGTCCCTGGTGACCATGTTCAGGTGTGGCTGCCACACCCTCCTCCCTGGGCTTGGGGGGAGGACGCTGACTCCAGGCCACTACTGGTGATGTCAGCCCAGCCCCTGTGCCAGGCCCTGTGGACCAAGGACGGGGCGGCTGTCGTCTACCCCTGCCACGCGGCCATCGTGGTCCTGCGCGTTGACACGGGGGAGCAGCGCTTCCTCCTGGGCCACACGGACAAGGTGGGTGCTGCCAGCCCAGGCGCTCTCACCTGCAGACGCCAGAACAGCCCGCGGAAGGACTTTCCCGAGAGGCGTGGCCTAGCCCGGCACTCCCCTCTGCCTCCGCAGGTCTCCGCGCTGGCGCTGGACAGGGGCAACGTGCTGCTGGCCTCTGCACAGGTGCGGCCCCCCTGCGTGCTGCGGCTCTGGGACTTCCAGACCCAGGCCTGCCTGTCGCTGTTCCGTAGCCCCATGCACGCCGTCAGTGCCCTCAGGTGGGCTTGGGGTCTCCACGTGGGGGTGGAGGGGGTGGGGGTGTGTGTGTGAGGGGACAGCCCGGGGGACGCTCACCGCCTCCTCCACGTCCACAGCCTCTCCGACAGCGGCGCCCTTCTCTGTGGAGTCGGCAGGGACCGCCACGGGAGGACGGTAACAGGCCCTGGCCAGGGCGTGGGGCGGGACCGTGTATAGGAAGTGCCAGACAGGGTCCTTTTCTAAAAACATACCTTCGTGCATCTCTGTTTATTAAAGCAACGTGGGTTTTTTGTTTTTAAAAAAAGCCCATGTGATTATGGATTAAGGGCAGAAATGTTGTCTATGGACAAGAGTCTATGGATTAAGGGCAGAAATTTTATTTGGAAATATAGTCTTTGACAAAAATTTTTAAAAAGCCCAAATGACTCAGGAAATTCCAGCCCTGTGTACCTGGGCTCTGTGCAACCTGGTGTGTGCCCCCCTCCCCCGAAAGACCCCCGCAAGGTCACACCTCACGCTTCCACTTTTCTTTTCTTTTTCTTTTTTTTTCTTTGAGATAGAATCTCGCTTTGTTGCCCAGGCTACAGTGAGTGCCGCGGCATCAGTCTAGCTCACAGCAACCTCAATCTCCTGGGCTCAAGCAATCCTGCTGCCTCAGCCTCCCGAGTAGTTGGGACTACAGGCATGTGCCACCATGCCCAGCTGATTTTATATATATATATTAGTTGGCCAATTAATTTCTTTCTATTTATAGTAGAGACGGGTCTCGCTCTTGCTCAGGCTGGTTTCGAACTCCTGACCTTGAGCAATCCTCCTGCCTCAGCCTCCCAGAGTGCTAGGAGCCACTGCACCCGGCCCCACTTCCTTTTCGATCATTAGGCAACAGTCTTTGCTTTAAGCTGGTGTTGAATGACTGGCCTGTTCTCCCTGGGGGCGTGTTCACTGGGTCTTTACTCGCAGCACCTCCGAAGTCGACTCGTGTGCATCTGGGCAGTGCGCGTAGCATCCTCGCGTGTCTCCACACTGCTCAATTTTACCTGCCTTCCTCCTCGTGGGTCATGGCACTTTCCGTCTCTGGGCGCCCCAAAGCCGCCACACATCTTGGAGCGCGCAGGCGCAGGGGCCAGTTCCCTCCACCCAGGGCAGCCTGAGCGCGGGTGGAACCCCATCCAGGCGGGAGAGCGGGCAGGGCGGGGCGTCTGCACCCTGGAGCTCAGAGTGGGCTTGTCGCAGGTGGTGGTGGCTTGGGACACAGGCCCCGTGGGCCTTGGCGGTGAGGTGGCTGTCCTCGCGAAGGTGCGCACTGACTTTGACATCCAGGCTTTCCGGGTCGCCTCCTTTGATGGAAACAGGTGCGGCGTGGCGGCCGTTTGCAGTGCTGGGGCGTCTGGCCGGGGTGGGGCTGGGCCCGGGCCCTCAGTTGCAACCTTGGTCCCTGCGTGTCTGATGGTCTTCTTGAGGTAGAGGGCCTAGGGCCGCTCACTGGGGCCACACTCCTCGCAGGATGGCGTCGTGCGGGCAGGGCAGCGTGCGGCTGTGGCGGCTACGCGGCGGGGAGCCTGCGCTCCTGCCCGTGGACCTCGGGAGCACAGAGCGCTGCAGTTCACCGACCTGGCCTTCGAGCAGGCCCAGCACAGCGGCCCGCGGCCCTCGCCCCAACGCTGTGAGCCCCGCCCCACCTGCGCGCCCTGCCCCGCCCCACGCCCTGCCCCTGCCCCACCAGGAGACCCTCACCCGCCGCCCTGGACAGCTACGTGACAGCCAAGTGGCCATGTCCTGGAGATCCGACCCCCAGCGCAGGGCCCTGCAGTGCGCCGCTGCCTGCTGCCCACACGGACCTCCAGTGGGCCTGCCCACAGCCAAGACCTCGGCCTCAGGTAGGGCGCCCGCTGTGGGGGCAGGGAGGGGGGTGTATCAATGCTGAGCACTGACCTCCAGCCCCCAGGCCCTGGCATCGCCATCAGCACCTCAGCGTGTCCCTGGCCCTGTGCGCCGTGGGCTCCGAGGATGGCTACTGCGCTCTGGCCCCCGGATTCCTCAGATGCTGCTGGAGGCGGGTGAGGCTGAGTCTGCCTTGGCCAGGCGGAGCGCCCGCTGGGTCCTGTGGTGTGGGAGGGAGGGCGGGCTGGACGGGCGTCCCGGGGCCAAGGGCCTGCGTCTGAGTCCAGGACGCGGCTGCTGGGACTGCCGCGCTGGCTTCACACAGGGTCCGGAACAGTGGGTGGTTGGGTGAGGCTGGGTGGTGGTCTCAGGGAGCTGCCCTCAGCAGTGGGGGACTGGGGTCCTGAGGGTGGGAGTGGATCTGTCTGGTGTTGGGCACCCAGATGCCGGAGCAGCAGGGAGTTGCCTGGG